TATAGAATATTGTTATTATATATATATATATATATATATATATATATATATATATATATATATATATATATATATATATATATATATATATATATCATCCTAAATTGTATATATATTTATACACACACACACAACATGTATGTATATACCTAAAAAATTAATTAAATGTTAAATAGTACCTATAATTTGGATCTTTGCTAAAATCGACCGACTTCGGGTGTACTGACGGCCTTAGTAAATTAAATATATATTGAGTTTTAATACTGGAACGATCGAGTCTAAGTATCGGCATCCAACACGCTATAACACATTTAAAAATAAAGTGTATAGTGCTATAAGATGCAGTACTATATTAAAACTTAAGTTGTAGCAACAACAACATATACTCGGTTAATCACACGATTGGAGAATATGTGTGTGTGTATGTGTGTGTGTGTGTGAATATATACATATATATACATACACAATTAATTATATATTATATAGTACCTGTAATTAATTTTTATCTTGGCTAAAACTAACCGACTTCAGTTGACTTTTAAATTAAATAAGTTTATTTTTAAATTTAAAATTATATTACCGGTCAAAATGATCGTGGTCAAACCGTCAAAGGCCACTTAAACGTACCAACCGAAATTTCCGACCGATCTCGATTGAAAATTTCCAAATTAGACCTGCCACAAACCGGTTCTTCCCCATTTTTCCCTGTGACGACCCAAAGGGTCATCACCTATTTCCTCATCCATTCCATGCTTTCGAGGATTAAAACCTCATTTTTTACTTGCCTCGATTTGCGTGCCCAGTCCGGACGCGTAGCCGGAAAGCTTTTATGTTGAAATATGTGGATTCCGTGAAAAATTTGAAGAATTTTGATATTAATATGATTATAGTTGACTTTGGTCAACATTTTCGGTAAACGGACCCGGACCCGAGATTGGACGGTTCCGGAAGGTTCGTAGAAAAATATGGGACTCGGGCATGTGCCCGGAATCGAATTCCGAAGTCTAGAGCCCGAGATATGAATTTTTTCGTGAAATTATTTTTCTGAAATTATTAAGGAAAATGAAAATGAAAATTGATTAAAAGACTATGGTATCAGGCTCGTATTTTGGTTCCGACGCTCGGTACAAGTCTTAAATATGTGTTAAGCGCTTTCTGTAAAGTTTGGTCGAAATCGGACGTCGTTTGACGTATTTCGGACTATGAGTTCAAAGCTTGAAAGGTTATGAAGTTTAGAAGGAAAATCATGTGCCTTGAGGCTTCATTCTATGTAAATGATGTTATTTTGGCGATTTGATCGCACGAGCAAGTCCGTAGGATGTTTTCGAGGTTGTGTGCATGTTTGGTTTGGAGCCCCGAGGGCTCGGGTGAGTTTTGGATAGGCATCGGATTGCATTTCTCATTTTTTTAAAATCTGGTATGTTGGCTTCTGTGGTTTTCGCAAATGCGAAAGGGAGACTCGCAATTGCGAGCTTGCAAATGCGAGCTTCGAGTCGCAATTGCGAGGTCTGGGAAATTACGCACAGGTCGCAAATGCGAGGATTTTGCTCGCAAATGCGAGAGGCCACTGATCGCAAATGCGATCGCATTTTCGCAAATGCGAAACCTGGCCTCCAGACCCAAGTTCGCAAATGCGAACTAAAATGTTCGCAATTCCCACGCCTGTTTTGTTCGCAAATGCGAACCTATGTTCGCATTTTCCATATCCGAGGCCCAGCAAATTTTATACTTAGTCGAATTTTCACCACTTTTCACCATTCTTTCAAAACCCAAACACCATAGGCGAATTTTCAAGAGCAAACTTCATCCCAAATCACTTGTAAGTTGATTTTTACTCAATTCTTTCAATCTCTAACATCATTAAACATGTTTTCCACTTGAAATCAAAGATTTTCATGGGTGAAATTGGGATTTTTGGGTAGAACCTAGGTTTTCCATAAATTGGGGAGTTGGACCTCGATTAGAGGTCTGTTTTCAAAACAATTTATATATTTGAACTCGTGGGGGAATGGGTAACCGGATTTTGGTTCAAACCTCGAGTTTTGACCACGTGGGCCCGGGGGCATTTTTGGAATTTTTGAAAAAAAAAACTTGGGAAATTCATTTTTATGCATTCAAATTGATTCATATAGTGTTTATTAAAGTAATTGAGCAAATTGTGATTAGATTCGAGCGAATCGGAGGTGGAACCACGAGGTAAAGCGATAGTTGTGGATTAAGTGAATTTCAAGCCTTTGAGGTAAGTGTTTGGTTTAACCCTAGCTTGAGGGAATAGGAGTTGAGTCTTGTTGCTAACTGATATGTGATCGAGTACGATGTATAGGCATGGTGACGAGTATCTATACATTCGTGTCTAGCATGACCGTGGGTCCTTATAATGTTATTATCATGAACTTATTGTGAATTTCATGTTTATTGGAGTATTTTCATATATTGTGAATAACATGTGAATGGTGATATGATAATTTGATTCCTAGGAGCATTGGCTCGAACTGTGATACGAATATTGAAAGTATATGAAATGACTTGATTCATTGAGGAGCGTCGGCTCCAGTTGTAGAACGAATTGCGAAAGTATAAGTGATAATTGAACCTCTGGAGCATCTGCTCGAGTTGTGAAAAAGAATTGTGAAGTGAAAGTGAGAAAGAGGAGAGATCATTATGTTGCCCTCTGGGCGGGCTATTGTTGGGTTGTGATTCCTCTGCATTGTGTTCTTAACGGATACTAGGGTCGCTCAGGTTAATGTTTCCTTGTGTCATATGACGACTATAGTTATAGATGGGTTGGTTGGGTGTGGTAGTCGGTTAGATATAGCTGAGGTGGTCAAGTGTGGTAATAGGTTGGTTATAGCTGTGGTAGTTAGATGTTGGAACTAATGTGGTGGTTAGATGTTGGAACTAATGTGGTTATAGTAATCCCCTTGCCAGAATATTTGAGATGATGTTTTGTTCCCTTACTGGGAAGTCGTTATATTGTTGTTTGTGACGGAATATGAGATAAGAAATTTCTTGGAGCTTGGGCTCCAATGATATCGTGAGATAAGAAAAGTAAGAAAGAGAAAACATTGTTGATTATTCCCTTGCCGGGACGTCTGGTTGAACTTGTTGGATTCTTTCCCTTGCCGGGATGTTTGTCAAATGTTTACTTATTTTTATGCCCCTTAATTTTGACTGTTGTTTGGGGAGTCGGGCTGTTAAATGATATTGAGGATCGGGTTGCACGCCGCAACAATAATATGTGAGGGTCGGGTTGCACGCCGCA